ATATATATATATATATATATATATATATATGCATTATATGCATTATATGTTGTATGTGAAGATTAAAATCTATTTCTGCTTGAATTCTAAGGATCAGATGATTTGTTGCAGAAAAAAATCTTTGAATGGTAAATAATAGTTCTTGGTAAATAGGTTGATGACTGATTTGCCTTAGATCATCAATTTGACTAATACCAAGCGAAAAATCATATCTGCGCAACAAAATGTTCAATAAATAACAGGATGACACAACCCTTCCTGACCTTTCAGTAGCTTTTCATCTCATCTTTTGTCAATGCAGTATTTTCATCGATCTTGTAGTGAATTGTACTTCGTGCATGAGTGCAGTCGTATTCGTATAGCAGTTGATTTTATTGCTGAAATTTGTTGTTACTTATCCAATTTATGTGAAAGTTTTTCCCTATCCATAACGTTAGTCATTACAATTTGAATAAAGACAGCCATGGCGTACTGTGTAAATGCTTTTTCTAGAGGAAGATATCAATAAAATTAAAAATAAATTTGATAAGAAATGATTAAAATATGTGATTATTTTTATCTTTACTGATCTTTTCGATTCATTGATTATTACTCCTTTTATCTGCCCGATTGTCTTTAATATGTTAGTGACAGTATATATCATTCATCTAAAAATAATTAAGAATCTAAGACAACCATGGCCTACTGTGTAAATGCCTTTGCTAGAAACTAATTTCTAAATGAAAGATACGCGAATTCCGTCTATTGTTTTAAGTCTTCAGTATATTAGTCAATAAAATAAATTATGACGCAAACATACCAAAGAAAAAAGTTTACACAAATATCAGGTTATAGTTCATACGGTTATTTTTCCTCCTTCTCTTATATCTGAGAAAGATTTAGCTTTCTTTGTATTTGGCTATTGACAGCAATATGTAATGCTCTCAAGTTACGCGTTTATTTTCAACAATTTAAATAAAACTAAAAGAAAAATTTAAATGATTAATAGAGTAAGGAAATGAACGAAATGGAAGATGAATCTATGGAGAAAGATGTGAAGGAAATACCGGTGAATGTAATCGAAGTGACACGTAAGAGACGTTTTTACAAAGCCAATGAGAATCCCCCTATTTTACTTGCGTTACTTTTTGCATTGCAGGTAAGTGCACTTTTTTATTACAATTGTACATTTCCTTTGTTTTAAATTTTCCATTCCTTAAAATATGATTTATTCTGTCTAATTTATATTTACCTATACGGTTTGCAATAGGCAATCTTTTAAGGCATGAACGTTTCGGATCATTCCTAATTTACTTTCCAGTATGTGGAGTCACTTTTTTGAATCAAAGTTTCGAGAACAGAATTACGGGATAGTATCGTTCAAGTGTGAGTGGGTTAAAACTTAGACAATTTTCATTGTTCAATATCCTTTTTTAGATTTAAAATCCCTTCGAAAATTTGGGATTTTGTCAATTAAAACAGAAATATGTTCGAGGATTTTGATAATTGAGATCCCCTCTGTGTTATAAATGTTTATCTAATTAAAGGTGGGATGATCTGGCACAAATCCGTGATTTAGAACAAAGAACTAATGTTTTGGTCTCATCTCATCCATAACCTTTGCAGCCACCTTAAGTTAATGATAGTTAAGATGGTAGTTTATGAATGCCATTACGTTTGCAGGACCAAATGGACCTGTAGTAATACATTGCTTTTTATAAGCTAATGAACTTTCAGCAAGTAATGGTATGTGTAAGCGCTCTTTTAACAATTCCTTTTATCCTGTCAAATGAACTTTGTGCTGGTCGCGATGTATACACACTACGAGTACTGCTTATTTCGTCAACTTTCGTCGTTAGTGGCATATCAACCATCATTCAGACAGTGTTTGGGACAAGGTTCTTTTTCTTTAAATTGAGAGTAGCCCGAAGCGGACATTGCACTGCATTGCAATACGACCCGGCACATTGTGCTTGAAAAGTATGTAATTGATTGGAATTTAATGATTGATTTAGTAATACGTATTCTTTCATAGTTACAAGGCTGCTAGAAAATTATATTTCTTAAATACAAAAAAAAAGGATTATACTTCTTGAATTTCAAACTGATCGTATGAATATAATAAGCAAAAGATTTGAAATAACTATGCAATTACATGAGAACAGTAATAAGGAAATATTTCAGGTTAGCACTTTTACAAGGCACAGCATTTGCATATATTCCATCAATCCAGGTATTCATGCAGTTACCCGAATATAAATGTATTTTTACGGATGATGATGTTGTGGCTGCTTCTGTTTATCAGAATAAACTTGCCATTGTAAGCATCTTAACTTAAACCTTTGATTTAGTTTTTTTTTTTCATTTACTTTATATTCCATGCTATCATATTTTAGGAAAAAAGGAATACTTTTTATGTGACATTGTTTTCAGCTACATAATGTTTTTATTCCTAGATATATTGTCTCCTCTGTCTTTACCTGTTTATTTTGACTCATATCATCTCTGATATAGACTTATAAAGCTTCAATTTTTAGTAATATGGACATATATAACCTGTTAGACTCTAGAAGATTGTGAAATGTGACAACTGGATGAGCATGGGATAAGTAATAGTAATTAAATAACAAAACAAATGGGAAGTTAAATAAGCTTATCGTTGAGCTGGTAGAGTGTTACGAACAGAGAAAATTCATGAAAGTAGATAAAAGTATAAATGAATATGTAGATTCAAGGATGCTTAATGGCATCCTCTCTAATACCAATGATAATTGGTGTGACGGGTATAGTTGGCATATTAACAAAATTTATTGGACCAATCACCGTATCACCACTTATGTTACTCCTCGTACTTAGTGCAGTTGATCTATGCGTTGAACGGATTTCGAAACATTGGGTTGCTGTAATGTAAGTTTTTTATAAATATCTAAAAAATTTTTAGATTTCAACGAGTCTTAGAAACTATGAATTTTCTTTTTAAATTTCTGGCTTTTGAGAATGGAAGATGGGAAAAAGGAGGTAATGATTAACTCTTAGTTATTCAGGAAAGTATGAAATTAGAAGTCAGAGACTTGAGAAGGCTTAGTTAGCTAATTCAACAGAAGTGGAAAGTCTTAATGTTCACTGCTGCAATATAATATATGTTCCTTGTTATACATGTATCCTCAATGTCTGTCCGTACTTCAACTATAAATCGAATTTAAACTTTAAATTTAGACAAGCAGCTGCTTTGTTTGCTACGATTTTGTATCTGGCGGATTGGAAAGTGCCTACACTTGGCTATAAAAATAATCGTTTCGCTATCGTTCGAACCAATATTTTCGGCCAGTATCCGGTAAATTTTGATGGTTGTAGAAGTGTGGAGAAAAGTTTGTATTAGATACTGGATGTTTGAATGTTATTTATTAACAACTTACTGGATTTTGAGGAGTTTCGTCGAATTTAAGGGTTGAAAATAAATTATGAATTCGTCAACTAAGATGGTGTTTCAGTACTTGATTGCTATATTGACTTCTTGGGGCTTTTGTTTGTTTCTTACGTTGACAAATTTAACGGCACCCGATAGTGCTGCTCGATTGGATAAGAACGAAACAATTGCCGTAATCAAGCATGCGGAATGGTTTCGGTTTCCATATCTCGGTTAGATTTAAATTCCGAAATAACTTACCATATTCCATAATGTTCTCCAAAGTAACCTTTTCTAATTTCTGCAAGATAATTTTAAAAATGATTTTTAGACCTCTCACTATTGGATTTTGCAAATTTGGCGAAATGGGTTAAAAACGATTGACTTGTTTTCACTGTCACCTAGCAGTAGTCTATTTGATGCATTTACTTCCATTATTTACTTTTATTTCAATTAGGTGTTCCGCAATTTCATACTGGACTTTTCTGTGCATTCGTTATTTCGGCGTTAACATCAGTCTTCGAATCGGTCGGTGACTATCATGCAGCGGCGCGGGTTTCCGAAGAACGTTCACCACCTTCGCATGCAATCAATCGTGGTATTCTGGCTGAAGGTAATATCGAACTAATACTTTCTCAACAATTCTTTAAATTTTAAATGCAAATTTATTTTAAATAATACTAGATATTTACTGAACTTTGTTAGCTGTAGAAGAATTCAGGTTGTGGTTCCTTACTAGCTGGGCTGCTTGGTCCAGGTGTTGGTATGACAACGCACACGGAAAATATTGGTGTCATTGGTGTCACTCGAGTAAGCAAATTCTTCTCAATGATTAATAATGGTTTCTTGAACTTTATCATTTTTAAAATCTTTTTTTTCATCCTGACTAGCGTGAAGGTGTTTGGTACCGTTTATTTTTCTTTCTTTCGTCAATCATTATTTTTTAATGCATCTACACTGTAAATGAAAATTCGCTGGATACCATTAACACATAATTGCTTACTTTATTGTCTCTTTGCTTATCAATTGTCTAATTATCATCTCTCCAATTCATTAGTACGGCCTCAGGTAGCAAGTCGCTTTACAATGGTATTAGCTGGAGTCATACTTATCCTGTTGGGCGTTTTTACGAAAATCGGCGCACTATTGTCAACGATCCCAGATCCACTGGTTGGTGGTATTTTGGCTAGTAGCATGGCAATGGTTGGTGGTGTAGCAATAGCTAATATCCAACAGGTATAGTTTGCAAAATTTAAATCCTAAAAGCCCCTTTAACCTTTATATATTATTAGGATGATTCATTACGCTCACTGAGGTAAATGGTGGGATCAAACTTCTAGCTTAGTTAAACATGAAACTAATATCAATATATTGATGCAGAAAGCGTTACATTAGCTTTGTGTCTTCTTTGAATGTTCGGAAATATGTTCTTAGAAATTATCCCGCTTCGTATATTATTTCAGGTCGATTTGAAATGTACACGGAACATAGCAGTACTAGGATTCTCGATAATGGTTGGGATGATTGTGCCAAGTTATTTCCGAGAGAATCCTATCAGTACAGGTTCCACTTTTTTCATTCTTTCTTATGGTTTCTTCGATTATTTTGTATTAATTTATTCTGTTTTATAAAAGCCAATCCTTTCTACCTACTTGTCGCATTTATTCAGGGGTTGCAGTGATCGATCAGGTGCTTACAGTTCTTCTTACATTACCGATGTTTGTTGGCGCATTTGTCGCGTGTGTTCTTGATAATACCGTCTCAGGTAATTTCGAATTACAGTAGTAGTAGTAGTAGTGTATTCCAGGAGAATCTTATTAGAAATTCAATAAATTTGAATACGATGATTGCCTGCTCGTTAATGAGACAATCCAACAGTTCATATTATATTGGTCAGACGAAATTGCTAGAATAACACTTGTCCACAATGTCGAATTTATCGTGTTATTTGATAAAGTAAATTTTTTGTTGAAGAGGAGACTGCATTAAAGCCAAGCATAAGAACCTTGAAAAACTTTGTGGTTGGCAGCCATTTAATTGTTTTGTTTTTAAAAAACCTCCAAGTCTTGATATAGAACCATCAACTAAAGTAATTCATTATAGGTGCTACTCGAGAGCAACGTGGTCTACGTTCACGTGGCTTAGCACATGAGCTGGGCGAAAATAACTATGACGTGTACTCATTCCCAGTTTGTATGATGAAACTAATCGAGAAAGCTTCTTATCTGAAAGTGATGCCGTTCATACCGAAAGAAAAGAAAATTACTAATCGTGTGAATGACTCATTGCCGTGATGATGAAAGGTTATGGAGGGTATCGAGGAGTGAAACTGGTGAAATCCATTGAAAATTGTGAAATATTCCGGGAATTTTTCTAAAATTGTGAACTGAATCGATGAATAGAAAGCCCATGAGAATTTTCCATGGGTGCCTTTTAAAAGAAGTTGATGACTGTCTTTACAAATGAATCACTTATCCGCCCTTGATTAAAACGTTTGATCACTACCGATCAATACTTTGCTGGCATATCTGGGACTTCTCCAAAACAGACTTCTCTATTCACTCTTCAAAAAATCGCTCCTCAGAGTAATTTTTTAAATCAAAGTTTTTACTTTTCCACTTTCAAGCAATAAATTTTGTTAGAATTTTGCCATTTTTGTCAAAATTCTTACATATCATGCAAACAGTAAAGAGTTATGGGCTAAATCGATGAATTTATGCGAATTTGCAGCATATTGGAACCATGTAACTGTAATGAAATGGAAATAAGATACTTTCTTGATCCTTTGCTTCCAATCTTCCCATTCTTTACTTACAATATCATATTCCTTCTCTCCAATACATTACTGATCTCCCTCTTTATGGTCTTCTTTTCTACGATACATTACACCATTATGTTGTTGTGTTCATCATTTTTGAAGTGAGCGCAAAGATCCCATGTGATGATAGAAATGAATCACTTATTGTTTTCTTCCAGGAACAATAGCTCTCCATGACACTATAACTATTCCTTATCATATTCATTCTTGTTTGTTGTTGAAATACTTGTGATTATTTAATATCAGTGATATTAATATCTTCCTGAATGTACATGAAATTTTTCTCGAATAATACACAGAAGACTTAACAGGATGATGAGTAATTGATAAGTGATTACTACCTTCTAGTAGAAGTTCAGGTATTTCAGTAAGATGATGACAATAACAACTGCCGAAGACTAGAAGAAATATGATTGAAGATGACGTGAAGAGACGTAAAGACCACTAATATAAGTGTATGCGGAACAGTAGGTAAAGAAATAAGAGGCGATATTGTTGAGGTGTCCGCTTTTTTCTGGTTTCGACAAGGTGAGGGACATATGTTCCGGAAAGGAATTCAAGTAGTTCCATACTGAAGTGAACTGAGGAAGGAAGAGGTACAATCGAGTAAGTATAAGTATAAGCGACGTCAGGGATTTGTTTGTAAGCAATTCTTCGAATCAAGTCTTTCCCTTATTACAATAATATCTGGCCTAAGAGGATGAAACTGCTCACGAGAGATGGAAATGAGAGCAAAATGGAATCAAAACAGAGTCAAAAATCACACTACAGGGAATCAGATCTTCCCTCTCTGTATGGTCATGGGATATTGACAAATGTCATTTTAATTAATTGCATGATTTAGAAAATTCAGAAAAAAGGTGTGAGAAAATAATTGACACACAAATGATATATTTTAAACATTGTCGTTGGTAGTATCTGAACAACTCAAGCGAAGAAATCAGAATCAGAATCCTCGGCACTTAGATCAATCGTTTTCAACATTCCATCATTGTATTTATCCGTAAATGTCGGTTTTTTGTTATCAGCGCTATCTGCTGAGGTTCCCAGGATTTTGGCTAGGAAACTAAATCCGTCGTCTGCAACTTTTGGTAGGTTCGAAGTCTGAGAGGTGTTTTCTATCATCGTAGGCCTGAAAAGTTCCTTCGGGAAACCAGGAAATGAAGCAGATTGAAACAAGCTGATATTTCTTTTCATAGTTTCACAGTGTCAAATGAAAGGGTTCCTTTAACAATCTTTGGTCTAATTTTCGTCTGTAAAAGTTATCTATCCGAGTTAAACCATTTTGAAATTTCCAGAGTTACTCATTTCCGTAACTATTAGACATCACAGTATTTTTGATACACATAACCGAAAAAATCTTGACTTTACGGCCACTATTTCCTGACTTGACGATTTTTGATCGCCTCTTTGTACATCTAGCGTTTGACGAAGATCAGGTGTTTCTTTCAGGGTTACTGAAATTTTAGATTTACCTTGAACATTCCCCGTATTTAAAATAATTCATCTGCTCCTTTTGGTGAAAATTTTAAAGAAATATTCTGAAATGGGAATTGTGAAATTCTAATCGCAAATAGCAAGATTTTAGAATATTACAATTCACCTGTAGCTTATTGACATTAAACTCACTTCCAACAAAAAATAAAATAATGTGTAGATAGATACTCTCTTCAATTCTAAAACAAAAACCAATTACAGTTCGTTCCAGTGTACTGTGCTTCTTGAAGATAACTTGATTCTTTCTGTTGCTCTGTTGGAAGCATACTTAAATTTTTCCCCTTATCGGTAAATGACTGTTCAGACTTTCCTTCACTCTGATTATCGTTTCTTTTTCCTGCCTCACTGTTAGTATACTTTTGCAAATATTCCACTCGCATCCATTCAGCGTCCGGTCGTGGAGTATCCAAAACAACGCAATCTAAAGGAAGCACTGAATTCAGATATAAACAGATCTATTCTATCAATAGTGTGCTTTCGAAGATCTTCAACGGGTTCATTGACCGCATTCTGACGATCATTTTACTTACCAATTTGACTGATTTGTTTACGTAATTCATGTAAACTTTTCAGCTGAACGATATTTTTTCTCCAAGGCATTTCTTGACTTTTACAGGAACGAGATTCAGGTCCTAATGAAAGATAGTAGTCGGCGGTGGATAAATGAAGTCGATGCTCGCGTAAGTTGTCCAAATCTTCAGCTATTTCACCTAATCGTTTTTTGATTCTGACCAAATCGGGTTCCAGGGCTGGTCCACTATTAAAAAAAGACTTTAAATTAAGTTTTTAAAACTTCGATTTTCGAGAAAATAAGATATCAGCAAAATTCTTAGGAAAATTTCTTGAAAAAAATCTGATCAAGTCCTCACCTTGATGGTATTGGGTCATTTGGTTCAAGCTGGTTATCCAATTCTGGTTTCGAACGTGGCGCAATAAAATGTCCACCAAGGTCCCAGTGGTATTTATTCGTTGCCATTTTCTCTAGGATCGATCGTTCGAAATGACTCGATATTGATGACTATTCATAAGTTTAAATTGAAATTGAAAATTAGATTGAAAACTAAATTTAAATTGAAAACTTGTAAGAAAATTTACAAAATTTTGAAACATATGATAGTCTTTTAGAAGACTGCCCACTAATTCAAACTAAATTTCACTAATTTCTGATAATTTTCGTCTTTATCAGTTTTTGTGCATTTATTTTGTGAAGCGTCCTAAAATAATTGTGGTAGCAAAGATTTCAAACGATACAAATTCAAATTCAGTTTTTCTAATTTCGAAAATTATGAGAGGAGAAAGAGAAGGGAATTTTAATGATAAAAGTAATTGAAGTGTTCAAATTATACCTGATTATATATTTGCATTTCGTGTGGTTTCCAACTAGGATATTTCTGTCGTAGGAAATTCACATATTCATCCTCAATAGAATTACAAGAAATTCTACTATCAGGTGGAGAAAGAGTTGTATAGAAATGACAAGTTTATCATGGTAATTATATCTGTCATGAAAATCACAAAAATTTTCACATTTATGATGTTGGAGATGGGCAATTCAAATGACAATTTGTAAGGACCTAAGAGATACAGGCTTCCAGAGAACAAAGAAGAATTGAAAATTTCAAGGAAAGTGGAGAGCTTTTTGTTCTCTATATCTAGTACCGCTCGGTTCGTCAGACACAAGTATCTCGAAAAGGACAAGGACTTACTGTGAGAGGCGATTGTTCCACCAAAACTTAGCAGCTGATAGAATATTCTTTGTTAACGAAGAATATAATCTAACTTACCCTTGCCTTCTTTGCTGTTTCCAGTTTAAAATCCATTTTCACCAGCCGTTTCTCCAGTTCATCTATTTCATTCTGGACAGGCATGGAATCAGTCATTATCGGACAACTACCTCAAATTGAGATCCAAAGGCGACAGCGATAAGGAAAAAGCAATCACCATGGGAACCGATTCTATGATATCATCAAGTCTGGTCTTCCACTCATCTTGATAGCTACAAACTTACAATTACGATTTCCTCGCAATTTCCTTAGATCAACATAAGTTTATGTAGTTTAAACAAAATTAAATATTCCATTCATTTTATGAACAATAACAAGCTGATAAATACAGAGTGTACAGATCAAGTTATTTTAAACGTAAAGAATAATTCTATAAAAATAATAAAGAATAATTCTATAAAAATAATAAAGTGTACCACCACATCTACTAAACTCTAATTATTGAAAATAAGGAACTGAAATTTAAATAAAATATAAACACAACAATTTGCTTAAATTTCACGTCTGTTACATTAATACATTTAACTACCAGTAATTGTCTCAGCTAAAAAAGAGTACACCTTCATAGTTAAATTTCTATGAAAGTACCGATCCACTGTCAAATGAAGGAAAAGAATGTGCTCCGTACATAGGGATAAAGCAAGGTTTACATTTGGACATGATCTCTGAGACAATGAGTTCCCGGCCGGCTCCCCACCCTTTAAAAAGTGACAGTTAGATAAATTTCAGAAAAATGCAACGAAAACTGAAGCCAGCTGAATCATTTCGACATTACATGGAATACAAAACTCTCGTTCAAATAGAAGGACTGAAATCAAGACGGAAAGCGAAATCCGTTTCATGACACGCTGACTGTTCTGAATGCAGAGATACAACCATACATCAGAACAATTAAAAAAGCCATTTGGATGATAAATATTTATACAATTTAAGTTTATCACAACACAGCATTTTTAATTGATAATCTATGCATATAACTATTTCAAATCTTCACAATCGTCCCCTCCTTCGTAGGCACTGTTATCTTCATTCACGCCACTTACTTCAGAACTGGCTTTTAATTCTTTCATTAACCGCAGATACTGAAAAACAAAACAACAGTCCCACTAAATTGTACGAAGTTGCACATCTCCACGACTAATTTCGAAACAGATAATTAACTTCGAAACTTTATTTTATATATGATGGATGGTAGATAAAAAGTAGGCTTCAAATATCACACATTCAAATACAAGAAATTTTGACCATCAGGGAAGATGCGCTGACAAAAATTCGGAAACTAAGAAATCTCCCAAAAACGAAAATTACCTCATTATCCATACTCCTTAAAACTGGCCGTTGAAGGACCTGTTGAAAGCGACTGTTATCACCCGATTCAAACGCTGAGATCAAAGCACAACAAACCTTCGCATCTTCCGAAATTTCGAAATCTTCACATCTGAATGATCAAGGAATTTCATATTTAACTTTATATTTCGTTCATTTAGATTAAAAAGACAACAGCAGTAATGATGTCGAATGAAGCATATATCGAACGGCAAAATTTACTTGAATGACTTTTGTATACTTTTTGTTGCTGATACTGCATCATCACATGCTAGCTGGACAAGAACAAGAGCTATTGTTAGCTGTCCCACTCGACCAGCTTCCTGAAATAAGAAGGAAAATAGTACAGAGTGCAATAAAGAAGAATCAAAAAGCGTTTCGTGAATTGGACGATGAGTTACCATACAATTCCAGCAGGTTCTTCAAATGAATACGGCATGCGATTGCCATAGAAGCGAAAAATGAAATAATTTCCATTTTTATTAAATAATAGCTAGGCATGAAAAAGTACGGGAAAATTCAAGTTCTATAAGTTTATATTGGTTTAAATTTTCATCCTTTAAAAATGGCAGGAATTCTACTTAAGTGATTTTATAAAACTACTTTTTCCTTACTTAATTGGACTGATACGCCCACTCGATCTTTGAACTGAAAATCAAAATTCTTCCTGGGAAACTTCAAGAATAAATATATATCTGATTTGCATTTTTCCCTCACATGCAAAAAATAGTAGTGGAAAGACATACAGTAATAGAGCAAGAACAAGATTAAAAAGCACTTTAACTTCCGTATATTTCTCGATCTCTTCATTAATCATATCAGCTGCTTCCCTGTACCGTTTTAGTTTCAAATATAGTTTAGTAAGTCGAGCCATAAACCCATCAGCTATGCGCGAACGATCTGTTTCTTGCACCATTGTTAGTGCTTTGTGATAAACCTGCATGAATTTCACCAAATCAAGATTTTCAAATCACTTTTCAACAAGATTCAAATTCATATTCAAATTAATAGGAGGAAAGATTGACTGAATTAACTTAAACTCAAAAAGTAATATTAAAGGGAAGACCTCATTCGCAAAAACTAGGTAAAACTCAAAAAATTTGCTTCTGTAGAATCATCCTTTAAAAGCCCTAGAATCAAATTCCGTATTTTAAAAAATTAAACTCATGATAATAGTTCCAAAACGCAATTTACCAATTTCCTTCTTACAAACCTATAAAAGTAATCTAAGTTGAACTTCATCAAAACTGACAATAAAAAACTATTTTGAAACAAAAAAAAACAACTGACAAAGAACAGCTGACAAAGTAAAAACCTCAATAGCCTTTTCAGGGTCAATATCTTCCAAACATTTTCCAGCTTTATCAAGAGCCATTGCCGATGAATCATTACTTCCTGATTCAGCATATCCGTTCGCAGCTAAATCCATGTACTTCAGTGTACCACAGCTATCACCCATTTCCTTGCAAATCGTCGCTGCACTTTCATTGCATCTACAAAAAGTCTAAATTAAATAATGAACGTGTTGCCCATTCAATTTATCACTGATTACTGACAAAACACCTCTTCGACCACGAAGAGAAAAGAAGTAGCATTTATTATTACGCGACATATGCATAGCCCATCCAATATTTTCAGTTAAACCTTATCGATTTCAATCTTACCGTCTAACTTCACCGTTTTAATCTCATCGATTCGTTCTTTACCTAATAGATGAGATTATTAAAAGGTCTTTAACAATAAAAAAAATGAGAAGGCAAGAACAGTCAGCAGCATTACAGCACTAAAATTGTTACTGCGTGCTTTTTACCACTATTTCGAGTCAAATAATCTAATTACCCCAATTAGATCGACCAATTAGTTAGCAAAGTTGTATTCACGAGACAAAGTGCTTACTTGGCCCAATGAAATAAATTGCCATTTTCTTTATGCATTTCAGCAGCTTTCAGATAGGCATCACGTGACTGTTTCATTTGTGAAGCATTTCTGAAGCAAACGGCCGCCCGGTCGTACTCCATTGCTGCACTATCGTAATCAGGTTTGAATTTCATTTTTAAAATCGATGTTTTCAGGCTAGAATATGATCAGGAAATTACTTATGATTTTGGATGTGATTTATGGTAAAAGTTAGCGCCAGTAATAAATTCGGGAATCATACGTTTTCTAAGGTCCACTTTGCTCAAAGAATCAACTCACTGTGTTTCAGCCTTTCTAATACATTCCGTTGCTTCCGCAACACGGCGTCTGCTCATTTCGTCCATTTCGATATCTTAAAATTAATTTGTTAGAATTCGTTTGTTTTTCGTTGGGATTTACTTTTTTTATAAAAATTTAAACTTCCATCAAAGTCAAACCGTGCAACCGTTGCACAAACGAAAAGGAAGGAAAAGATCACTGTCCCATAGTTTTAACTTTGAATAGGTCATAGGTCACTGTAAATAGCTTGGATAACAACAATATCTCATATGTTTGACTAAACAAATAAATTTGAAGTGATTTTTAGACTGACGTGAAATTGAGAACTACGAAATGAGCAGAAATAAAAAACAATAAAGTGGAAAATCTATTCTGGGATAAAGAATCGGCAGAGGAATGAAGCACCGTAAAACCCCGCATTTTGCAGCTCCATTCTAACTCACTTGCTCATTACTTCCCCCCAAAAGGCAGTTTTATTAATCTTCAGTCTTTCTTTCGATTCAGGGAAGTATTTCACTTTTACATTGTCAGTCGTTTGTGTACTGGACTGGACAAACTTCCCATAAAATAGATCCCAGGGAGGAACAAATTATCATGTAGAAAGACACGCTTACTACACATCAGAAAATTGTTGAATACACAGTCATTTTTCTCCAGAATTCTTACAATTGCGGATAAATCCCTACAAATGCAACAAGATCTGCAAATCCCAACCTGAAAATAACCTTACTACAGCTCTGAAATACCAACAGTTCGATAGGCAGTAGAACGTTGATTCCAGAACATAATATATGAAAAACGATGTAATTTCCATGTTCTTTAAATCAGGGCATATGAGATCCTCAGCTTACTCTGCAATAATTGATCATGTTTCCATTAGGCAGCTTTATGCTGATCAAACTGACAGTAAAATAAGCTTTATTCTGAAAATTTCTATAATAACATACTGGAAGGAAACAAGTAGCGGGGACAAGGTAAAAACAGCGAGGAAAACGACTGAAAAACGACTTAATTACATAGTCATATCACAGTCAAATCAGAGTTAGTAACAGATGACATGTGCATGCTAATATAATAACTAAGTGGATGAGGAAACAGCTAGTTTCTTCAGATGCTCCATGAAAACCTGCAAAGAGACATCATCCGTAAAAACCGGTGCACCACCTTCCTGAAACAACAATCCACTTTCAATTCTTGCAGTACTTGCAAGTAAAAAAAAGAAGATTTAGGATTTCAGCATATTTCAACAGCTTTTTCGTTTTTTATTTCCAACGATAACACGTATTAATCGCTAAATTTAACATCGTAAAGCAAGGGATCCATGAGATTAAATGATATGAAATTAATCTAAAAAAGATTCCGAACTCGAATTTACTAAAACATATATGAAAAAACTTCTGCTCAAAAGAAAGGATTATGAAAATGTGAACTTTACCGCTGCATATGGATTATTGTGTGTCAAGGATGGATTAACCTTGGACAATAGAAATCGGGCCTGAAAAAAGTGTGAAATAAGAAAGGTAGTAACTGATAAAACAGCAAAATCTGCAATAAGGAAAAGTAAATTCATTCGAAAAATCAAGTGGAAATGAAAAAAAAATGTACCACATCGTTTGTTTTAAAGACCATGCTGCAAACTAAAAAACATTTCGCAAAATTCTAGCTCTACTTTTGCGTCTCTAAATAACTTCATCTTTTCTTTAAACTTAAAGACTATAAACCTTACCATCACTAGCTGGAGATACCTAACTTAATATAAAGATCTCAACATTAACAAAATATGGAGACGAACTTGGGAGCCTTCATATTCGGTGATGATATAACGTGGCATAGGGAATCTTTCTTGTAAAATTGTCGTTGCATCAGCCACTGGCGCTTCCAATAGCTGTTTGAAAGCGCTGTACTGTGGATCTTCATGATAGTTCATTTTACGCCATGCGGCAATTGTCTAGAGGTATGAAAATCTTATAAAACTCGAGTTGGAACTCAAAAAGTATGTACCGATCATACAACAGACTTTACGAAAATCTCAACCTGTCCATGATAAATTAAAACATGAAAATAATCATCCATCAACAAAATTCGATCTGGAAGAATAGATGATGTATCCAATAAAACCGGTTCTGGTGGGCCACTAAAAGAATATGCAAACAATACAGGCTGTATCATGGTAGTGCTTTCCAGTACGTTTTCGAACATCAAAATATGTCTGAAAGCAACAAAATCTACCAGATATAACACAATATTAGAACTTTAAATAGAGAGAAACATAACAGAAGTATTATAAGTAATTATTCATTATTCAGCAATATTATTTTGAACATAGCGAAACTCACCTGTAGTAAGATGTTTCATCTGGTGAATTATTAAACACTTGTAAAAATTGTGATCGTCGCAAATGGAACATAAACTGTGGAAAGAGAGCAAATTTCTCTGATAGACAAAAAGATGATGGGTCATCCTGCAAATATAATATAACTTTTGGACTAAGAAGGTAGAAGTTTGGATTTTGTTCAATTTTTTTTTTTTCAAGTTCTCAACAGCACTCAAACTTTACTGGTATTTAGCTTTTCTGAAAAGTCAAGTTACTATAATCCCTAGAAACAAAACGTGATTATCTGTAATCAAGTTACTATAATCCCTAGAAACAAAACGTGATTATCTAATGCACAAAGCTTCCAGAATATTGAGCAGAATTAAGTTCCAGAAAAAAAGAACGGAGATAACACCTACCTTGTGATATTCACCAAACTTTTGACATAAACGAATTAAACTTCTATCCAGCCACCGTAATGCATCCGGTGTATCGTTTTCTGAAGATGCACGCCAAGAAGCTAATCGAGCCATTATCACTGCTCCCGCCTCCTAAAGTAAATTAATGCAGAATAAGTTTCCTTTGCCTAAAAGTGATACCAAAAAATGACCTGAACAATAAAGTAAAGCGTGTTAAAGTATAGAATGGAGTTATTATAGAACAGATAAGTCGCTGTCATTGTACAACTGCATTCCTTACAGATTTCAACGATAGATTTTTTAATAAAATAAATCACTTGCTTGATATTCCAGTTTGTAGATATGAAGTCAAAAAAATTAAAATGATAAAGCAATAACCTGATCAAAACCATATGCGATGCTTGGTTGCTGGGTTGCCATATCAGCCCAATTTCTGCATGTAGTTGTAACACGAATACGCTTTCGCCCATCCGGATGCTGATATTGAGTCACAAATTGGACCATACCGTGTGAACCTTGTGGTATTCCAGAACCATGCTATAATTTAAAAAAAAATGTAATTTTTAACTTTTAAACAGAAAAACCGGAAATTCCTGCATTTGCTGTAGAGCATGGAGATAAACAACAAAACAAACAATTTCAAAAAAACTATAAATGACGATTAGCGTGAAATTGATAGTTGCGATAACTCATGACGTTCTGTTAGAATTTTTCCTTTACCAGGAAAATTTAATGTTCCGTCAAGGTTAAATAGCAAGAAGCAAAACCACAACAAAAAAAGTTCAAATAAAAACGCAGGGTAACCTGTGCAACAATTTCGAACAATACAGCAATAGTTGTTCGCGGACTGATGGAGCAAAATCTCCACTGACAAGTACCACCAATGCCCATTTCTGTATCTGATACTGAAGCATTCTTTATACCACCATTTGCACAGCAACCAAGAACACCTTCGATTTTCAAACCATTACCAATTTTCACCTGCAAGTTATGCACGAATTTTATTTAGTTTCCTGACTTTTGCTTTTCCAGAAAACTCCGATGTTATCCACTACAGCATCCCACTACAGCTAAAATTAAACAATATCAAGACGTAGCAAAATCTTTAAAGCTTCAAATAAAAAGGAATACTTTATGTCATATGGTAACCAAACATATCTAAGTGGAACAAATTCTCCCAGACTGATTAATTAATAAAAAGAATGGTTTTAAAGATATCAAATCAAAATATATTTTCTGCAGAACAAATTACGGCAAGAACTATAACGATTCTATATAAAAATGCTCACTTCCATGGTCGCATTAAAGCCCATTTTGAGGAATCCATTGCAGTCTTTCTCGAAAACACGTTGATACGTTTGTTTGAATAGCGATGACTTGAAACTATCACCCATAACTACATTACCTGCAAAAAATTAGTTGTAATATAAGTTATAATATAATCGTAAGAGGAAAAATAGGTTCGCAAGTGAACTCAAGCAACATATAAGAATATTTCAGTGCACCCCGATGGCTTACCATTTCCACTGGACTAACACCTAGAAATCCATTTGATACATATCAAACGTCTATGAACATATCAGCAGAATTGTTACTAAAAATTCTGTTGCAAAAAGATATAAAAATACAAAGGAATATTGAAAATTCCTTCAATACTGAAGGTATTTGATTTAAACCTGCAGTTGTGTTGAAGCATGCATGCATTTCATACAAGCCTGTTTGATCAAGTGCACATGAATAAATATCAATTACATGACCATTTCTTACTGCACGTGCAGCTAAACCATCGTAGAACTTTGTTGCCTGAAAAATGAAGTGTAGTAGAACTACACTTCCTCATATCAGCTTTGAAATACGTTTTGCTATTTAAATTACAGTACTTCTTGCCACCTATAGTGCAAACATAGTACTCGAGTACTCGAGTCATCTATTCATGTTTCATATTTAATCTTATTCTACCTGTCTCATGTTTTGTTTAAGTACTCCAAATCCTTGTTACTTAAACAATCAAAAAGTACCATATATAATGCATACGTTAGTACCTTTTTCATGTATGATGCATTGTCTTCCTTTATCGCGTGCCATGAGCGGATTGGATTTTTAAGTTCTTCACCAACTACAGCTCCCGGTCCATGAGTACAAGCACCACCAATAAATAACATAATCCGAGCTCCAGTATTAGGAAAACACACCTATGAATAATAATTTGCTTCTTTAGTTTTAAAAATCAAAATTTTCAGAACTCCAATAATCAGTATGTAAATTTTGAAGTTTTCTTCAAAATCCGGAATCTGTTAATCTTTAACCTCAAGCAGAGTGACAGCAACAGCAAGTGCACTACCCGTCGCACGAAGTGGACGATGTCCTTGCGGAACTGGCCAACGATCCGGTACAGCTTGTTCAATAAGGTCATTTATTGATACTTCGCAATCGCTTATAGGCTGAAGTGAATTGTGAAGTTAGTGAATTACGAGAGTGGGGCTTCTCAAAGCTTTCATAATCTCCTCCTTACAAAAATCACCTGAAGAAATTTGTTAAATGGAAGTAGGCAGCTTCCAGTCATTCCTTGGACAACTGCTGGGACACTACCGGAAACACCACCAGATCCCATGGGAAAACCAGGTCTCTGCTGTGATACTGAACCTGGTGGTCCTGAACCCATTTGCTGATGATGAGGACCTGGAGTTGCACCAACACTGACCGGTCGACCAATGTTCATTGTTAGAACATCTCGAATCTGTTTGTGATTAATTTCTTTGCTACCCTGGAACTTACTTTTGTGATTATAGATTATTAAAGATAAAGTATTCTCGCCCAATACAACATGGAAATACCTTCAACGGAACAAAGATGATGGAAATAAATCGTTTTCGTGATCGACTTTTTCCTTTTCATCTATTGTAAACTTGTTTTAATACCAATACATTTACCTTAAAGACATAAGCTCGTGAAATGCCTTGCACATTGAGCTCATGTATTTCAATCATTCGTCCAAAAGTGATCAAACCAACAAGTGCATCGGCAGGAAGGAGGGAAAGTGCCGTCTGAATGGATTCTTTCAGCGCTTTTAACTCTTCTGCTGATAGACAAGTGTCCATAACGAAAAGAAATATTGGTGGCAGGGTTGTAGCTTTCTGTAAGGAGATCATCATAAGTATAGGATTTGATCAAGTCGTTTAAAAGTTTTAATTGCCAAAGAAATTGCTTGGTTCTCTTAAGATAATGAAACAGAGAATTACTCACGTTCACTCTGTCATTCAATACCTACTTTCAAGGTGTATTCGATGGTTGTAAACTGTGGATACAGTTCTGGCGGACGATTATCCTCTGCAATCATGCTATAATGTGGAGGAAACGGATTGCGCTGATTGCAGAACGGGCAAATCCATGTCTTATTACGAAAATCGACCGTACTAAAACGATTTTTCGATTATACGATGTAAGTATAGGATACCTTTAAATCAAAAACAGTTGTTTTCCATGTAAAACGGTAATTCGAAAAGTCACTAGCCACAGAGCATTCAAGACTGCTTTGCACGATGCTTTTTGGCATAAAACAGGATCATATTCAAGTGGTGGCTGGTGAGGCTGATCAGATGGGCGCTCCTGAAAATTATCTTAAAAACTTTACAACGCGAATGCTTAGTGAGATGAATCAAGAAACAGTTTGGATGACTTGTTTAAAGATTATCTAGATTGAATGTTAGAATGTAACTTCACAAATTTCATTTCATTTCTGATAAAGGTTGGAAAATTTATATTTTACTTTGAGAGGAGTGAAAAAGGCAGCAATAGGGACAACAAGTCGCTGTGCGTCAATCCGTGAATGTGGCCATAAATTCCAGGTCATCTGGATACCATCAACATTAGCTTGGTTTGCCAGATACTCTTCCCAAACTGCCATTTCTTCTCTGAACTGTGCAGCCGGTATAATTTGAAAATAAAATAATATGCCGCATTTAATGTGTACCAAGAGATTAAATTTTAAAAAGATCTGATGGATTCATAAAGATCAATAAAAGGACTTGCAGTTAAGATAGAGCGAGAGGAGTAAAGAGTTTCCAAAAAGTCTCAAAAGAGGACTGACAATGTCAGAATCAAATCGTTCTATGACAGTTAGGTGGTTTAAATCACCTGACCGTTAAATCGGCAACAAACAGTAACGTCTTCATATAATATATCATATGATGCATTATATTTGGGATATAAAAACTGACAGAGTCACCACTGCAACGGACGAAAGTAAAGTCATAAAATTATTTATAATTAAGAAAATGCAAAAATTGATGGCGTTTGTATTTTTATCATGTCTTACACATACAGAATAGTACCAATAGCTGGTTGAGAACATAAGCATTATTACAAAACAAAAAAGCCGAATCTTTGAGAAATTTGTCCTTTAATTAACTCCATTTGCGCTAAAGGTTGATCCCAAGAGATCAGTACTCTTACAATTGTCCAAACCTTCTAAGAAGTAATAAGGTGAAAACCATCTGAAACACGACCACGTGTACAATCCCGAAAACGCGATATGCAACTTACGGACATATCGTGCTAGTTTTTATTTAAATTTGTTTAAATCAGTTTGCAATTCAACGACAAGTAAATCAATCGATAAGAGATCTTTAGCATCTGCATGGAAAATTTAGCAAACACTTAATTGGCTGCCATCTAGAAGAAAGTATTAAGTATTACGGTTAGGCTTTTGCCAGGTCGAGATAGAAGGAATTATAAGTAGAGCGCTGCAATGCAGCCAAAGATACCAGGATTATTATGCACTAGTAGACCGTCTTACATAAAATATAAGCTCAATTCAACCAGAAACAATAGGATAACAAAAAATATTTGCTGGGAAAGACCAACACCTCACTTATTTTCTAATCCTTCCCTTAACCACTTATAATATGGAAGTGATATGTATGCAGGATTTGGTAGGATATGTATGCAAGGGAAGAATGTGACAGTGATGTATAAATGTCTAAACCAACTGCAAAAAGACTACTGTAGGATAACGTTAGCTGCTGACTTATGTGCAAAATTGCACTTTAAAACATGGTAATCCATCAATATATGGCCACAGAATAGCGTTTGCTACATAATAAACAAACAAAGCCAAATCTTCTTGAACAACGTTGTTTTTCCCTTACCATCTCGACTCACAAAAACAGTCGTCCTGAATTTTCGCATCGGGCAACATGGGTTGTACATGTTTCACAGCAGATGTACGTTTCATAACGGGCCGTAGTCATGGTATCCAAGTAGGTGTGGTGGGGGAGGACGCTGTTTGTGCGGTGGGAGTAGGATGTGGCAGTGTCGGGTAGTACGAAGGTATCTCGTGGTTTCGTGGCGCTTTAAGCCTCGTGCTGATGAGATGACCGCCGTTTTTATCAGTCTCTTATCTGCGTGTTGTTCACGGATTGGGTTTTTGTCGACATTTTGGTTGAAGCATAAAACTGGACGGAGATCTGATTAAAACTAGTTGCCTCACTGAGTTATCAGTGATTGGAAGTAAGTAAGTGTGAAGTTTATACCGTTTGTTTGATCGTCTGGCCTTTCTATTTCTTATTCCAGGACTTTTATACTGTCATGCCTCCAAAGACATCAGCGAAAGCTGGTAAGGGTGGAAAAGGTGATTCGAAAGCTGTGGCGAAGGCGCCGAAAAAGAAGGAAGGTGGAGGAGGCGGTAAGGCCAAGAAAAAGAAGTGGTCCAAAGGAAAAGTTCGGGACAAATTAAACAATATGGTTCTTTTTGACAAAGCAACTTACGAAAAGCTGTATAAAGAAGTTTGTTTTCCTCTCCTGTTCCTTCACACTTAAGACATGTTTTCTGTTCTTTTAACTTTTCTCAAAAATCTGTATGATGCCGCACTATAGTATAGGGGATGTAATGACTGAACAACATCAAAACAGAGTAGGCCTGTGCGCCAAAAGAAATCTGATTATTGAAATCCTTTAAAAAATTCTACCACGTGATGCAGTTGCCCTGTCCGAATGAATTTAAAAGTTGTGCTGACTTTCCCTTACTTTAATACTTGATAGAGTTGTTCAGGATACTTTTGTTGCAGGTTATTACTTATAAGCTTATCACACCGTCAGTAGTTTCGGAAAGATTGAAGGTTCGCGCATCTTTAGCAAAGCAAGGACTCCGAGAGCTTCTTGCAAAAGGTTTGCATTATTGCTTGTTGGCACTGATATTTCAAAAGTATTTACGAACACTTAAAAAATGAAGAGTCAGGCAAGAATGCATGGTACTTTTCCTTTTTTTCAAGTATATGTTTGAAACAAAAATTTGACGGGGTAGCATTTTGATATCTGCTAAATGCAGGATAAGGATGGATTTCTCCGAGCAACAAGCTCTTAGTACATGGTATTCCAATAAATTTGTTGCTATCGCATAGTGAGATATAGCTTTTCTTGAGAGAGCTGTTGACACGGTTTTGAATTCTTGATACGGTGTTGGGACAATGATAATGTTGTTTTACTTCGTTTTTCTTGCTGATTGATTAACCTTGCTTTATCTGCTCTTTTATTCGGCTATAAAATATTTGACGCTGTCAGATCTTTGGAAAACAACATTTTAGTAACGGATGGATGAGGATGTCTTATTTTTCACTGCTTGCAGATTCATATAAAATTTTTGTATGTCTGCAGGGCTAATCAAATGTGTGGTACATCATGGTGGTCAACTCGTCTACACGAGGTGCACGAAAGCAGATGATACCATTATTGAATAATTTCGCTTTGTTATTGTTTTTCTTGCTATAAAATTTCCCAGTTATTAATATGGTAACGACATTTTCGTGTTGATTATGGGATGGAACAAGTGCTGTGGTTACATTCGTTAGGCACAAATAGACACAAACCTATGTTTGCCTTTTTAAGTTGTTTTGTACAATTACAAACCAAGTTGTTTTGCAATTCATTGGTCGACCCGGCTGGACAGCCGAAATTCATGCAGTCGCTTATATAATCTCAGTGATAATAGACCATCTCCTGGGGACAGTGCTGGAAGATGCTGTCCTGGCCTTTGGCGTGACTGATTAACTTAGTTTTAACTATTTAGTAGTTTGTAATGTTAATCAATCCAACTGGTCTTATGGGAATACCGAGCCTAAACATAGTTTCAAGTTTGCTATACTTTCCTCCTAATTCTAATTTTGTTGCCATTACCTTCGACCCTTCTATGGGAGAGATATTTCATTTAAACATATTTTAAATGTAATTAGAAATGACAGGGGTTAATCCAGAATTTGATGATTTAATTTTCTAAACACACTATTTCTTTTTTTCTTTGCTTGACAACGAACGAGTTTTGCTGGCTAGCAGGAATGTGTTGTTAGATTGATTCGAAATTGATTTTCGTTTTCGCGCTGTATGCCTGCTTCGGTATAGCGGCATGTAGGTAATATCGTTTGCGACGTCTTCTGTTGGGTTCGTTGAATTTTTGGCGCTCGGCTTCTAGTTGTTTCTGGAATGTATAGACCCTTCAGTATTGCGGTTTATAAGTTTGCATCAGCATTCATGAATACTGTTGTAGTCTTCCGTAAATTGGACTGGATTGTGGGGTAGAGTTGGCAGTTTTTGAGTTCGAGATAAAACGTGCTTTGTATTCGTTGTGGATGAATTTTTGAACTTTGTCTGCATCCAAGGTGAGAAGCATTGCTTCGACCGGTATCGTGAAATTCCAGTCAAACTTTTTAAAGGCTTTGTTTCCCTTTAAAATTGAGTAAAATTAGCCGTCCTTCAAACAAATATTTTTTTCGGTCAAGTTGGAAAGGATCGTCCAGAAAGAGCAAGTAACATTATTAATAGTTTAACTGCTGGTGCTTTTCGAATGAACCCCGCTCCCACTCCTCTTTATTTTTGGATTTTTTGATTCGAAAATACAATTTCGTAGAAACATTCTTACCTCAATTGCTTTAGCCTGTGCGAATTGAAATTGCATTATTGCAAAGAATACCTTAACATTTTTCCCGTATATTTTGAAATTAAGTTCGGAGGGTGTATGACGGTCTAATAAGTAATGTGACTAGATAAGTTTTGATTAATTGCAATTGTAGTAAAGCAGTAATGAAGTAAAGTGAACTTACAACAGTCGACAAACCTATCCAACCCTAGAGAAAGCTACTAACATACACCACATGACTAATTTTTTTTAAACGCAAACCGAAATGAAAACGGCACGACCGGTTGATGACATGTTTGCGGTTAAGACTTGATATTCTCATCTTTATGGTTTTTTAATATATTTACGAAGGTCATTGTGAATTTCTCCATTATGTCCTTATTTGTCCATCACGAACTGTTAAAAAGTGAGACGATCCCAAACTACTTCGTATTTTAAATATTTCAACAACTAAAATGTTTTTGTTCTACCAACAATACATGGCAGGTGAGGAGAACATTAAGATACCGAGACTTATTCAAATATAACGCGGTAAAAATCTGCATTTCAAAAGAAAAATGAATATCATCATTGACCAGAATCAGTTTTAAAACCGTTTTCGTTGCTGTTTAACATGGATGGGTACGATTTCTCTCTATTCTGTTAAATATCAACACCGGATATTATCACAGAATAAAAGATGGAAACCCCAAATGGCTGAATCAAGATAACAGTGAGATAACGGGTCTATGTATTCAGTCGTACCATTAACAGTAATTACCAGTACCAATGTAAACAAGTTTGCTTATTATAATTACCTATTGCCAATGAATAATAACAGTTATTTCCTGAATTCAAAGACATTCTGAGACATTCGGAAAATCTGTCATGTTATGTAATATGCGAAAATAAAGTGATCTTGTGACCCCTCATCTTCATCGTCAAAATGCATGTAAAGTTCTCATATGCTTTTTTTGGGAATGACCTATACCGCTAATTTTAATTATACTCTTCCTCATTCTTTGCAGTGGTTTCGTTGCCGAAGACTACTTACTATCCCCGCACTTATTTTTTATTTTTGAATTTTTTGACTGTATTAATTGAAGCCAATCAAAAGAAGAAACTTCACCACAGGACTTTCTCATTAGCAATAATAAAACTTATCTGGCGTATTTCTTTTTTACGGCTTCTTTATGAATCTATTGCTGTAAAATGTTCATTAACAAGTAAATTTTTTTTTTTTAGAAACCCGAATCTCCCACCCAGAAAAGGTAGAATAAACAGTGAATAAAGGTACAAATTACAACTGCTTGGAAGTGGAGTGTGGAAGTAATTTTAATCACATAATCAAATATGAATAATTAACGGGATGTGAGTAACAAGTTAATATAGCAGCGCGAAATCCCTCAGGTTTTACCAACTTTCACGACTGAGCGCAAGCTATAAGTAAAACATCTATTTTAAACCAGAACGATCCACAACTAGTTAGTCATTAGTTAACTATTAATTAATTTAATTTAATTAATGAAATGGATAAACTGTTGAACCCACCAATGGAACAAATGAAAGGAAGAAGGGGGAGGGGGGATAATAAAAGAACTTTTTTCAAACAAACCAAATTTTGGAAAAGCAAAGAATTTCATCGCCGATTACTTCTTCATGATTTTCACTTAGAAAACTAATAGGAGGAAAAGCAAACCTATCGCCCGAATGTAGCGCTTCGAAGGCTGTGTTGATTTCCGCAAAATCGTAATACCCGGTAATGAATTCATCCAATTTGATTTTGCCTCTCTGGTACTCATCAACTAATTTCGGGATATCGTCAACGCTTTTCCATCCTGTAATTTAACTGCTATTTTAGATTAAAATGAAGAACGGACGTTTTACTTCAAAATGATTCGGATCAAATTAAACATTACTGTTGAGTAAATTTGAATTCTCCCGGAAACGACAAGAATGAAATTTCCATTTATCTTTATGTGTCCGATTACGATGAAATATTGAAACCTCCGAAAGCTGATCCTTTCCATGTACGACCAGTAACTAATTGGAACGGACGTGTCGATATCTCTTTCCCTGTCGCAGCAACACCAATGATGCAAGACACACCCCAACCTTTATGTGCCGCTTCAAGTGCTTGACGCTGAAAAGATGCTAGAAGAAAACACTGCATTCAACAATGTGGGGCTTTTTGAAGAATCCAGCTCCAAAGATAATGCAGTACTGGATCGTAAAGATAAAGATAAGAGTAAAACCTTAACAAACTCAACAAGCTAAAAACATTGGCAGAACATACCATTGTTTCAACAAGTCCAATGCATTCAAAGGTATAATCGAAGCCACCATCATATTTGTCTACGAGGAATGTTTGCAACGGCTGATCCTTTGGTATATCATCTGGATTAATGCATTCATCTGCGCCAAATTCAATAGCTTAAATATATAGTTCAGCACGTATAATGACGCTAAGTCAAAATTTTCAAAAAACAAATTTAAACTTTTGCTGCCAGGATTGAACAATAGTTATGCCTCAACTGCTCCTTTACCTTTCTCAAACTTCTTTGTATTTTTGTCAATCCCCACGATCAACCTGGCGCCAGCAATTCGGGCTCCCATAATGACGGCCAATCCAACAGTACCAAGCCCCCAAACTGCAATGGTGCAGCCCGGTTCAACTTTGCAATTGTTTACCACTGCTCCATAACCAGTTGAAACACCACAGCCAAGCAAACAAAGCTTGTCCAATGGTGCATTGCATGGTACCTTAAAATACATAAGTCATATAAATTGGCAAGCTGGAATATTTTTAAATAATTTAAAAGAAAACGTGCGATAACTATCACAACTTATCTTTTGAAAATATAAAACAGGATAATTCAACTGAACACTGGTTTCAAGCATATCTTAATGAGACTTTCAAAATTTCTTGAAATCCAAGCTTTACAGAATTCTTATGCGGCTTCCTGCAATTTATTTATCTTAAAAACGATATGAAAATTCAATATACCTTAGAGAGAGAATACTGCGACACAACAGTATACTCACTGAAAGTACTGCATCCCATAAAGTGATATATTGTATTGCCACGCTGCGAAAAGCGAGTGGTTCTATCCGGCATTAAACCCTGCCCTTGTGTTACCCTTAACGTTGATGTCATTTGAAGTTATAACTTTTTTAAAAAATAGTTTCTACAGTTTAAACCTAGAGTAAAAAACATTCCTTTTTCTGCATTATTATGTTAGCAATTCCATTATGATAAAGGATGAGAGCACAAGTAATTTATTCTCTTTATTAATTTGATATTAAAAAAATATGCGATTTTTTTTTAACCTACTATAAGCCAAATTCAATATTGCTGTTTTAGTAACTTCAGAAAAAACAAAAAATCTTACCGAACACGTTGACACAAGTTTGTTTTCGGATTAAGGCAGAATTTACACTCCTTACACTGTGCCGTGTATAAAGGAATAACATGGTCCCCTTAATTAAGGACAACTTTAAAAGAAAGAAGACCACAGTTACACAAAACAAAGTGACTCTAATTTTAAACAAAATGAAAATTTAAAAAATTATCGGATCTTTTTTGTGCAGCAGATCTTTTCCTGTTGATAATATTAATAATAAAGAAATAAATGTGAGAAATACATTTCGAATATTTAAATGGGCAGCAAGATATCAGGACACCAGTGATAACCTGCTATAATATTAAAAACGTACCGGGCTTCACACATGTTACACCACTGCCGACACTTTCCACTATACCAGCACCCTCATGCCCAAGAATACAGGGGAATATTCCTTCCGGATCATCACCATCCAATGTGTAAGCATCAGTATGACATATCGCGGTGTACAAAACCTAGATTAACCAACCGCAATTCAATAAAATTATTAATAACAGAACAGAACAGACCGAGTATTTCTTTTGTCTAATCTCCTAGTCGGAAATCATCCCTTTCCAAAGATGACCTTTCCAAAGGTTACCTAAAATAATAACTTTTGTTATTTACCTCTATTCGTACTTCATATTCTCTTGGCGGTGCAACTTCAATCTCTTCAATTTTCAGTGGTTTGTTGGGTTCCCAAGCAACTGCCGCCCTACACTTTATAGTCTGCAAGATTCATTGCATATATATAACTCTTCTCGGCCAAAAGTAGTCAGAAAATGTGTAAAAATTCACTTTCAAGAATTAGTTTAGGAAAGATGCTGCTACCTCTCCTCTTTCAGTGATACAACTCACCGTAAAAACATAAATATATTCAGGCTGGACAACATGCAGGAATCATTAAGTAGACCTTTCAAGATTTATGATAACATTGGCAGAAAAACTATTTCATCTTACACTCCTTTCACCCAAATACTAGAATAAAATGTATAGGCCGAGAAATGTGAATATAGACTATAAATCCTATCTTCCTTCCAAGCAATTATTTAATTTGTAGTTTTATTTTACATTTAAAAAGAGAAAAACTATCAACAAAAACTATTAATAAAATAAAACTACCAACAAATACCTTGCCAACTGTAGCCATGAATGTTTGAAATATCAGTTCCCTAAAAGGAGGAAAAAATGGAAAAGCACACGACAAAACTCTACTTCCATAACGAATTTTAGAACTCGAACCACTATATAAAAATGAAGCAAATCCAACAAATCCCTGACACGCTGACAGCCGTCCGAGAAATCAAACTTTTTTTGACAATTAAATTTGGATAATCAGCCTGTCGCTACCACACTATACCAGTTTTAAACTTTTCTATGCTCTTTTCAATGCTGTCATTATTTCATTTTAATTCCCATCAGAATCGAACAAATCCATTTATCTGCATCTATTCGACTGTTGAACATTCAGAACAACCCTGCTTCCCCGCGAAAAACTTTTTTCCAAATGACAGAAAAATTCAAGTCCCTTATATACATACATTTCCAAAGCACTACTGAGTCAAGGAGCAAGATCAAATAGTTTGAAAGCAAACAAAAAAGTAGTTTCAAATAAAAGCAAATACAAAAATTTATATTACCTGAATGACTTAAAAAGAACCATTTTATAAGAAAAATCGTTTTGATAAATAAATACCTTCGTCATGGGCATAAAAATGTTTAATGTATAAAAATGTGCATTAAAAATTGAATTGAGCCCCTCAAAATGCATCATCCTTCATCAGATGATGATCACCAAAGATGATGATAACTTTATACAGTAGCAACGAAACTTTAAATCATTCTATAAAATCGGATTAAAAGCACACAGGTCACCTTGCAATTAATGAAATAACAGTGGGACATTACTATAACAACAACAGAATATAAGGTTCAGATATAGAAGACAATGAACCGTAACCGGCATGTACCACATGCATTACCATGGACATTTTTGAAAAATATTGGACGAACTAATAAAAACATCAGATTTATGGAAGAGCAGGGTAAGACGGCATTTATTAAATCTGAATCTATCTGTCGAATTGTACGACCCATTCACAATGAGATGTTTGCGGGAACATGTCAACCGGTGTGATGGAAGTTAGTTTGAATGGTTCACCTTCGAATTTTCTGGATGTCGGTCGACAAAGATCAACCATATTTTTCATTGCCAAAGACGGACTACACGAAACAAAGACAATTTTTTTCAACTGTGCAAGCTGAAATATCGAAAATTGAAACTAACTATCTGAACTATCTGACTATCTGAAGTTCCAGCAATCCTATCAAATTCAAATCACTGTAATAATTTCGTCTTTCAGAATTTCGTAATTTCGAACAATAAAAACTTGAACTAATTGACGAACTAATTGACTACTTTCCAAGTCACGATTAAACTTCTGACCATTTTTAAGCTATGATTAAAGATTAATGTACCATCGGTTGTAAGGAAGAGAGTTCATTAAATTCGAAAAGATAAAAGATCAGAAAAAAAATCACTTACCGTTCGGCATCCAATAACTACCTTTTCGTGAATTCCAGCACGTGGAGGATCTATTACTCCTATTATATTTGCTGTTTTCAAATCAACCCATGATGGTACTAGCTGTTCCAAACGAAAGAAAACATTTTCGGCTTTACCGGACACAAATTTGTAGCTATAAGTCCGGAATAAGCACATGCAAGCAAGATCATATATTTACACGCTAAATACATCGTAACTAAATACATCTTTAAATAACCCTCTCTTTTCTACTCTGCTACTTTACTTCTTTCGCCTCTACTCTACCTCTACTTCTTTCATGAATTGTTTACCTCTTATGGTATTAAGCAAAGATTAAATTCCCTTCTCACTACATTTTATACTTGAAGATATTCATAAAACCATTTTTTGGATAAGGAAGTTCTTTCGGATACCTATCTGGTGGCAAATTATTATCGCTCGCATTTGTCGCTGCATCTTCAATAGCTTCTGGTATAATTTCAATACCTACTAAAAATTTCCGAGTAAAAGTTCTCGCCAACTTCATTAAACTTATTCCAATCGTTCCAGTGCCACAACAGATATCTAAGATCAAAGTTGCCTGTTGTTGTTGAACAACTCCCACCTAAATTTGTTTTAGTAATTCAGACATATTGCGCTTCTAAACAATATTTGGCTTCAAAAAAGCTATATATATATATATATATATATATATATATATATATATATATATATATATATATATATATATATATA